AGTCTGTCCAAACAACACTAAAACTGATCACTCGAGGCGCAGGTTTATAACGACCACCACTGTTGACCAACAAGGTGCAGGTGGAAACTGTGCAAAGACCACGAGGAGGGTTGAGAGGACGTAAGGGTAGTTGGAGTGAGAACAGAGGATGCAGAGGACAGAGAGAGGTTGAGGAGGATGGCTGTTGTGGAGAACAGCTGAAAGAAGAATTAGACATTAAATAAGACTTCCTGTGTTTGGTTGGTTACAGTCTCAAAATTATTTTGATTTGTTAAGTGCCTGAATAATGGGTGAGAAAATATTTTAGAGATCCTTTTGCACAAGTGAAAAATTACATACATTCTATAATATTTGGTAGCGTTGCCTTCAAACTGTCTGATTTGAGCCAGAGGTTTTGGTTTTCTTCCACAAACTTCTCTCAACATAGTTTTGTCCCATTCCTCCTGACAGAACCGGTGGAGCTGAGTCAGGTTTATAGACCACCTTGTTGACACCTTTCATCTCCACCCACAGCTCTGTGGGACTGAGATCAGAGCTGTGTGATGGCTGCTCCAAAACATTGACTCTTGTTCTGTAGCCTCTTTGTAAATGATGTGGCCGTCTGCTAAGGGGAATTGTCCGTTTTGAAGACCCATTTGTGCCCAAGCTTCAATTTCTCGGACGATGTCTTGGGATGTTGCTTTGGTATTTCCACACAATATTCTTTCCTCACTTTTTAAAGTGTATGTAAACATTTGGTTTCAAGTTTTTCTTTAAAATCGAGAGCATTAGAGGCACCTTTGTGATGGCTAATGTTGATTAGTTTAGGTAGCCCTAAGATTTTTTTCCCACAGACAAACAAATATAACTAAAAAGTTCATTACAAAGTTTTTGGCAAAATCTTACACAGCACAGAGAATATGTGTTGGGGTTTACTCTCAACTTTACTATACCAAATATTCTATCAATGTCTGTATACCAGGCTGAGTTGAATTTGAGCTGGCCGTGGCAGCCATCTTGGACTGGGCTCCAAAGGTTAATAAGTTGTAGATGCATATCCAGTGATTAGAGTCTGCATTACCACTAATGCCCAACTATGCCTTTTGGCTGTGGACAATAAAAATGTATTAAAATGTGGCACTGTACACGAAGGGATTGCCTCTGATGATTGTGACAAACTCAGACTGAAATCTCTGTTGTCTTCTGTCCTCACAGACCCAACCCCGCCGTCCTCCACACTCCCACTGTCTTTAACTGAAACATTAGTCGAATCCACAAGCCTTTAACATAAGAAGAAACAAAGTTGTCTGTGTGTCTGTTTCAAAAGAACAAGAGAATGGCACAAATAAAGCACTGACAGTGTAACATGCACACGCACACATGCACGCACATAGCAGCAGAGTAATGTTCAGTTCTGTGGGATCCTGAGGTCCTTTTCACACATGACAGTTATGTCCATTTGCCCTTTACGGTAACGACTCTGAGTTCGATCAAACTGAAGGTGTGTTTCTGACGGCCGAACAGCAAGTTTAAACCCTTTGACTCTTTGTCCACATGTGAGGACAGGCTGACAGTATGTGCATGCATTCATGGTGCAAGTCGATGGACTGTGGGGGATGTGTTCATAAAGTGAAGAAATGTTACTCTGTTTGTCTACATGAATTTCATATGAAGGACGGTGATGTAACTGTCGGTTCATTGTGCTTTCTATCCGCTTGTTTCATGTTGAAACATTCTTTGTCTGTGGCTCTGAGTCCTGAGTTATTTACTTTAGAACCAAATGATTCAAGAACTGACAGATGAAAAAATCTGAACAAATGAAGTTTTACATGGTTCTGAGAGTTTGGCAATCTGGATCTCTCTCTCTCTCTCCCTCCCTCTCTCTCTCTGTCTGTTGCAGCAACAAAACTTGAGCTTCCTAATTATCACTAAGGCATCCATCATTTTGTTCTGGAGTCCGTTTGAGCTTGAGCAAGGAGATAAATGTAAATGGACTGTACTTATATAGCGCCTTTTTATCCTATCAAGATACTCAAAGTGCTTTACATTACAATCTATGCCTCATTTACCCATTCATACAGCTCTATACTAGATCTCTACAAAGAATAATCTGTGCTTTATCACATTTATATACCAACGGTACACACGTCAGAGGCAATGAGGTGTTCAGTGTCTTGCCCAGGGATGCTTTGGCATGTGACTGCTGGTGGAATCAAACCCCCAACTCTTGTATTAGAGGACGACTGCTCTAACCACTCAGCCACAGCCACCCCATTTTTTGAGAGGTTCATTTGTCTTTCCACAGCCACCTCTTCTAGCTCTTCTGGGAGGATTCCAAGGTGTTCCCTGACCAGGAAGCATCCTTACCAGAGTTCATGGCTAAAGGTGAGGGTAGGAATGTAGACTGACTGGTAAACAGAGTTTATCCTTACAGCTCAGCGCCCTCTTCACCACAACAGACCGGCACAGAGTCCACAATACACAATATAAGCTATATATATATTTTTAAGGAATGATTGATTTCTATATGGTTCTATTACACACAATTTCATTATAAAGCTGTGATCTTTCTTTTAAACAAAAAGATATATGTAACTGGGTGGTTTACTAGTTTCAAAATAGCATTCATGTGGAAGTGATTGTAAATTCCCACCCGTGTTGGGTCCATGAACGCACCTAAGCCCCGGGCTGTTTCCCCACGAGAAAAGTGGAATGAAGAGGAGCCGCTTCCTCTGCAGAAAGGTAAAATTTAAACTCTGATTTAGGTTGTTTTCACACCAGATAGTCCGGTAGACTCGGTTCGGTTGGGGACCAATATTCATGACCTTCTGTTACATTTGAGCTGGTGCGTTTGCATTCACACTGCACTGTGCAGTCGAGCCAACCTGTTGAACCAACCTGTTCCCCCGCTCACCTGTGGGGGCGCTGCACCAAGAACTACTGAAAGAAACGACACAAAAACCTCTCAAAACACTTCTTCTTCTGGAAATAAAAACAAAAAACGGAGTGGCGTCAAATGTTAGCAGTTTTAGGAGTTATATTTTGTCATTTTTCAACAATGGACTCAGCACGAGTGGAAGATGAGGCAGAAGACCGTGGAGAACGTTGTTTTTCACACAAGGCAGCTGACGGCTCCATATGAGGTCAGAGAAATGCACGTTCTATTTCATATAGGCTTCGCCCTTTAAGGCTATTGCTAGCGGGTTTATCCCTTTGCGTGCACCGCAGCACTGAAAACTTTAGTCCGCGCTCACCGGCTGTGTGGGCCCCAACCCCGGTCCGTATAAATTACGGTGAGACCGAGCAATCGGCTCCCATTTTATCGTCAGCCAGCTAGCTAGCACTGTGAGAAGAACGAAGAAGGAAAAGAGGTCCAGCTTTGACCGGCACAACTTTTGCGAAGGATGCCTGGGTCTCCACCACGCCGTCCCTGTGAACTCTTCTCCCCCCGTTTGTATAACGTTTGTGGGGGTCCATGTTGCAGTTTGGGCCGCATCAACGGAAATGCAAATCAAGACACACCTACTAGGTGTAGAATAATAGGTGCCTGCCATGCACTGCCTCCATGCAATGCAATGGTAGTCCCCAACTAATAATAGATTAACTGAGCTTGTTCCAGTCAGTTGTCCACAACATACGTGTGAAACCAGGCCAAAACATGTCATCTACACCAGATATAGAAGATTTTAAATCACTAGTCGAACCTCGTCTGGGAGGAGCCCACAGATTTGGAACGAGCTTAACAAGAGTTGAAGAGTTGAAATTCATCTCCACCTTCAAAAAACAAAGACCAAACTTCTTTGTTTGATCACTTGTAGGACCTGTAACTGATCAGAGGTAACATAATCTATTACAAATAATCTGTACTGTATGTGGAATTTTTATGAGGAATGTATGATGTATTTAAGCTTTAAATAGCTTTTCAGAGACCTGATTCATGCACTGTTATCTTGTAGCAGTGTGTTGTGTTTTATGACTGTGTGTGTGTGAATAAACTGAATAAACTAAAACTTGATCTTAATCTGTTTAATGAGGATCATGAGGTCAGGTTTAAGATTCCTCAGGTAGCTATGGCAGCCATTAAAACAACTCCCAAACGTTATCAGTTTTAGACATGCATCAACTGATTACTTCCTGTTTCCTAAACTCTATGCAGCGGTTCATGGACTATTTTGCTAACAGATGACAGACTTCATCCATCCAGTATCTTTTACTCACTTCTTCATTTTTGGGTTGCGGGGGTTGCTGGTGCCCATATCCAGCCATCACTGTACGAGAGGTGGGGAACATCCTGGTCCATCACAGGGACACATAGAGACAAACAACCACTCTCTCTCTCTCTCACCGAGGGACAGTTTAGTTACCAATCAGACTAACATGCATGTTTTTGGTCTGTGGGAGGAAACTGGAGACCTGTCCAGGTGTCCCCCAAATCTCATCGTGACTGCTGGACATGGGCACCAGTGACCCCTGTGACCCGGAAAAGAAGTGGGGAAAGATGATGGATGGATATTAATTCAAGACCTGGTGTTCATTGGGTCAAGCATTCTGGTAAAACATGACCTAGCATCTGGCCATGCATCTCCCTGAGCATGACAAATATTTTCCACCAAGTCGTAAATGCTATCAAAGGCTCCCCAGCATAAAGGAGGTGGCCTTGGTACTGAACAGTTATCTTTGTTGCCAGTTTGTTGTGGTGAAATGCCACAGATTAAAGAAGGGAACTTTATTCCAGCAGCTGCCAATTCCTCTACAGAACACGATTCTCGAAGTGTTCCTCTCACTTTTAAGTCTGTTGGGTCCTGGCCTGTCACAGCGTCACCCTCTGGTGACAAGAAGTGTCACCAGCAACATAACAGAACACAATGCATTTACCTTGTAAACCTGAAAACACAACGTCTGACTCAACAAACGGGTCCAAAGAGAGACGAAAACACAGAAAATACATTTTTCGGCAAGTGCCAAAGAAAAAACAGCTGAACACATCTAGACCAACTAAGTCTTTAAAAAAGAACTGCAGTTCTCCATTTATTTTAAAATGAGTGCAACAGAACATCCTGAAGAGAAAAGATGGACTGCGATCACAGCTCGTTCTTGCTGCTCTGAGAGCCGGACACTGACGAGTCCGTCTCAGGTGGAACTTTGTTTGACTGTGTTGAAGCTGGATCTGAGTCCTTTCCATCAGCCTGCTGGAGTCGTGTTTTTACTGTCTTTTTGACAACTTTCTTAACAGCAGGTTCACCTTTGGTCTTTGACTTTGGTACAGCTTTGACCTTATTGGATTTTTTGGGAACTGGTTTTGTTTCAGCAGAGTCCTTTGGCAGGTCTACTGGTTTTATTGCCTCTGACCCAGCAGATGTGTCCAGCTTTGGTTCTGATGTTGCGTTGTCTTGTTGTTTGTCTGCTGCCACCTGGTCAACCTCTGAAGAGTCATTTGAGTTGTTTTGGCTGAACTCAGCATTCACAGGTGTGGAAAACATCTTCATCATCTCCTGAGCTTGAATCCTCTCCTAAAGACAAAAGATGAAGAATGTATGTAAAGTTTTATTCTTCATCCTGAATGGTCTCACCAGTGACCCCCGCGACCCGAAAAGGGAGAAGCGGGTAAAGATAAGGGATGGATGCTTCGATCAGCATTACCTTTTCTTCATGAGCAGGGTTGAGGGTGAACCACAGAGCAACAGCACACCTCTGACCCTTGGTGACAGCTCGGACACCATGAGGGTTCTCCTTCCCTGCTCCAAACCCGACAACACGGCCACAACGTGGATGGACCTCAGCCTGGAGAGAAGAAAAATAAAAACTGGGTTTAAAACCCTTCACTGTCTGTATTAGACTGTACTGAACAAGAGATGCACCACGACGTGGAGAAAACAACGACTCGTCCAGAACGTGAACCCAAAGTCTGGCCAGTTTTCAGTCTGACTCTGTGATCGCTTTGGAAAAGCTCTTTGGTGCTTCATGGATTTAGATTTGTTGTCATGCTAACAGTGGTGATCTGTCTGTCCATCCATCCATCCATCTGTCCATCCATCCATCCATCCGTCCATCCATTCAGTTATCCATTCATTAATTCAATTCAGTTTATGTACGGTATATAGCTCCAAGTCACAACAGAAGTCATCTCAGAGACTGAACAGAAACATTCATATATAAAATAATAATTTAACATTATTTATCTGAGGAGCAGCTTTGAGTTTAACTCCATCACAGACTCTCATCTTGAACAAGAATGAAGGCAACAGTGGAAAGAAAAACTCCCTCATGAGGAAGAAACTTTTAGCAGAACCAGCTCTGGACAAGCGGACCATCTGCTTCGACCGGCTGAGTTTGGTAGGAACAGATACACAATGGCAGGTCAAGAATCACATGTTAAGATAGAAATAGTATCAAATGAAAATATCCTGATGCATGCTCAATAATCCAGGTAGAAAAATCCAAAAAAGTTCAATCTGGTCCTCTGGACATTCAAAAAACCAAAAAACAAAACAATAAAAAATGTAGAAACGTTTCGTTGTTCATCCGAGAGACTTCCTCAGTCTGAGGTGCTGTATTCAGCTCAGTCTCTTAAATAGCACCTTCTCAGGGTGGATCAACCAGTTTGCTGCTGACAACCAGAACCAGCTGCTCACATGCTCAAGAAGGACCATCAGCCTAACAATGGATCATTAGCACCTGATGGCTGTTTACTGTTCACAGAGGGCTGAGTGATACTAGCAATCACAGCATTGTAAGAGGGGGACAGTTGAACCCGGAGGCCTCCACCCCTGTTTAATGATGGACGGTTTCTTTTCACAAAGATGGCCTCCTTTACTCCTCTCTCAAACCATCGTTCCTCTCTGTCCAGGATGTGAACATCTTCATCCCTGAAAGAGTGACCTCTGACCTGGAGATGAGTGTAGACCTCAGAGTCCTGGCCTGATGATGTTGATCTTCTGTGCTGGTCCATCCTTTTGGCCAGTGGTTGTTTAGTTTCCCTGATGTAAGACTGATCACCCTCCTGACACTGAACAACATACACAACATTGCTCTGTTTGTGCCGGGGGACTGGATCTTTGGGATGAACCAGTCTTTAATGTATTTTGGGGTTTAAAAGCCACTGGGACATTATGTTTAGAAAATAAACGTCTCAGTTTCTCTGATACTCCCTCAACATATGGAATGACCACTGGTCTGGGTCTGGGTTCCTCCTTTTCACCTGTTGGCTGACTGGAGTCCTGTTTGGGTTTCTTCTCTGCTTTCAGGAAGGCCCAGTTAGGATATCCACATTGCTCTAGAGCCTGTCTTGTGTGGGATTTCTCCTTCTGCCTGGCTCCTGAGCTAGTGGGGACGCTGTCTGCTCTGTGGTACAGAGTCCTGATGACTCCTAACTTGTGCTCCAAAGGGTGATGGGAGTCAAACTGCAAATACTGGTCTGTGTGGGTGGGTTTGCGGTACACCTCGGTTTGCAAATGTCCTCTATCAGAGACTGAGACCTCACAGTCCAAGAAAGCCAACCTGCCATTTTTTACATCTTCTCGTGTGAACTTGATGTATTTATCCACAGAGTTGATGTGGTCAGTAAAATGTTGGACTTCCTGAGATTTAATTTTAACCCAGGTGTCATCAACATACCTGAACCAATGACTTGGTGGTGTCCCTGAAAAGGACGTCAAGGCTCTCTTTTATACCTCCTCCATCTTGGTACTTCAGTTTCTTCCCACAGACCAAAAACATGCATGTTAGGCTGATTGGTAACTCTAAATTGTCTCTAGGTGAGTGAGAGAGTGAATGGTTGTTTGTCTCGTTTGTCTCTATGTGTCCCTGTGATGGACTGGAGACCTGTCCAGGGTGTTCCCCGCCCCTCACACAGTGATTGCTGGACATGGGCACCGGCGACCCCCGTGACCCAAAATTTAAGAAGCGGGTAAAAGATAAGGGATGGATGGATGGATGGATCTAATCTACTTTTCTTTTTTTTTGGGGTACAATACAAAAATTGTACGCACCAACAAATTTGTCCAAGACTGTACGTTTATAATTAATCAACAAAACGGGAATTACCGTGACTGTTTCTGCATCCAGCTCTGTGAAAATAAACTCTCCTCCTTCAAAGTCGTCGTTCAGATAAAGGATGGCACTGCAGGACAGACATCAGGATGTTAGCAGTGCGCTGTCATACGTATGTGCTGAATCATGATTTCTGTGTGTGAGAGCTCACCTGTAATCTCTGTGTGTGTATGCAGGAGGTTCTTGGACACACTGGTTTATCTCAGGAATCAGCACACAGTTGTCCACATGAACAGGGTGGCTCAGGTCGTTTCGGTTCTCCGCCTTCTCTAAAACAGCAGAAGCACAGAGAGAAGTTAGGAATCCCCCATCACTTAACTTTCAGTACTATAGATCAGTGTTTTTCAAAGTGGGGTCTGCGGCCCCCTGGGGGGGCACTAGGGGGCCTCAGAAAGCTGGAGAGAAGAGGGGGGAAAAGCAAAAAAAATATATATATATTTTTTAATTAAATTTATAGATTTTTTCAAATTACTGTAATAAAATTGAATCTATTTTTCAATAATTATTTAAAAATGCATTTTATAATAATATATTGAAATATTCTTCACCATACTTCATACTTTCATCTTTCTGATTGGCTGCCAGTCAAACGTACCAAGCTGATATATTCTAAAAGTTAGCATAGCAAGGACGAAATGAAGTATCCAACATTTTCAGTCAGGTCATCTGGACAGTTTCTTTTTTGTGCTGAAACGTTTCACCTTCCATCCAGAAGGCTTCATCAGTCATACACACAACAAAACTGATTCTTCCCCCAACAGTTTACTTCAAAGTGGAACAAACCAGTTATGTTGGTGCTAAGATGGTGTCTTTGGTATGCCCCTCCTCCATTGCCGGCCCTCTTCCTTGTTGACAGTTGTGTCAAACTGGTTGAAAAGACTCAAACAAACAAACTCAACCAGTCTGACATGACTGTCAACAAGGAAGAGGGCCGGCAATGGAGGAGGGGCGTACCAAAGACACCATCTTAGCACCAACATAACTGGTTTGTTCCACTTTGGAGTAAGCTGTTGGGGGAAGAATCAGTTTTGTTGTGTTTCCTTGACTGATGAAGCCTTCTGGATCAAAGGTGAAATGTTTCAGCACACAAAAAGAAACTGTCCAGATGACCTGACTGAAAAATGTTGGATTGGTTACCTGGATTATTGAGCATGGACTTTGATGAAATGAAGTTGTTTCTAAAAAGACCAAAGGAAGTGACTAGCAGCTCTGCTGTGGTGGAAACTCCTGATTAAAAACAAAGAGCTCGTGGCCAGTTAAAATTCAAAGGTATGAGGAAGTAGACATTAAGTATGGCTTTACAGTCGTACAGAAAAATGGCCATGATAGCCTGAAATGTGTCGTCTGTCTGGAGAGGCTCGCAAACGTGTTTACAACCTTTGAAACTTCAGCGCCACTTGAGTGGGATTATAACACAGTGTTTAAAACATGTTGGTTAATAACATTTTTATGCTCAGCAGCTGTAACAATTAATTGAAAATAGTGAATAAAAGTTAAAACATTCTAAAAGTTGATGTTTATTTACATATTTTGTAGCTTTGTTGGTGGGTTTGTGAGGGGGGCCTCAGCCAGAAGCTAATGCTGTTTGGGGGGGCATGGCATGGAAAAGGTTGGGAACGCATAGATCATCATCGGCATCCAGAGACCTCGGGGTCCCCGCTCTGACATTTGCAGATGATGCCCTTGTGTTGGGATCTTCACATGACCCACGGTGTGCAGCTGGGGGCTTCTCGGGGCGAGTCAGCTCCTCCAGGGCCAATGCCATGAATTTTAACCACACGGAGGTGGTGCTTCCTTCAGGTTGGGGATGAGTCTTTGCCTCAAGAAAAGAATTAAGAGTATGTGGGAGTCTTGTTCATTATCTGGGGGGGGGGGGGGGGGGGGGGCAGCCTTCCAGATAAGGTGAGGAGCTCCAATAGCTCTACTCCAAGCTCCTCCAGAGTAAAATGACTAAATGGATTTGAATCTGACTTCAATGGGTCTGTTATCTTTGCTGTAGAGTGCCATGAAACAACTTGTTATAAAATGGTGCTATATAAATAAATGGAATCGAACACTAATTTATTGCAACCCCAGCCCATCAGATTCACACAAGTATCACCAAGTTCCCCCGAGAAACTCTGCTCTTATAATGGCGCTTCCCTCAGAAGCAGATGGAAAAGATCCTGAACCAACACATCATCTGCACCCAGTGAGCAGCAGACAGTCATTAGGAAACATGGACGAACAAACAGCTGGAACCAGAAAGGATAACGAGCCTCTAACAGGCAGGTGGGTGAATAAACTAACTAAGATTAACAGAAGTACGGAGGCTGTTCTAATGACTTCAGTCTGTATTGGGGGTGTTTACAGACCTGTCAACAGTAAAAAGACAAAGGTACTTTATGCTTTGCTGCCATCTAGAGGCAGAAACGAGTAACACACGTTTGAATTGAGGCCCAGCGTGCTCCATGTCCAGCTGAGCAGTTGATGTGTGGTCAGTCACGTGATTGTGGGACGTTTTTTCGCACACACCTTAAAGCCCCTGGGAAACCACTCTTTCTGCAGTACACGTCACCGCATGGGTTTCGTCCCTGCAGCTGCCGTTTGGCCACAGATCCATGGAGAGGAAAGCGCCACTGTTCAGCAGACAGACCCCTCCGTACAGGTCTGTGCATCTCCAGCCAGGAGGTTTTTGGCTACTTGACTATCTTAAGTGTCTGTTTAGGCGTGTCTAAGTGCTTTTCCACATTAACAAAAACGCCCACAAACTTCTGACTCGTTACAAAATACTTGGCACATGTCTGTAAGAAAAAGTTGGAACATCATGGAACGTCATAACCAAGTGGAACATCTGTGACGAGCATGGACTGAAGGTCCACAGTCAAAGAGGGAGACTCCACACAGTGATGAGAACGGCAGTGGTGAGATCCTGTGAGAGGTCCAGATCCAGACAGACAAGCAGGTGAAGGCTAACCAACAGGACATTGTGGTGGTCGACATGCAAGAGAAGGTCGTGGTGATAGATGTAACAACCCCAGGTGACTGTAGCATCAGGAAGCTGCATTCACGTTCGGACGATGTCGTTTCAAGAGCGTTAACAAGTTGGACGTGTTGCTGCTGCAGATCCAGTCTCCATGAAACGTCGACACAGCTTTGGATTTGTTCACTTGTCTTTTAACAAGAAACACATAATGTTCCCAAACAGGAGACCACAACGACGCGCTAGGCTGCTAACGCTAGCGTGCTGCAAGAGAAGAGCGTCGTGCTGAAACACGCTTAGGAACTTTAGTTCCGTGGGGCATGATTATGTGAGAGATTTCTTGTTAAAAAAAATTTAAGGAATGAATAAATAACCAAAACGGTACAAACGTGGACCGAACCGAACAGGACGTACCGAAACGGTTCAATACATATGTATATATATATGTATGGAATGGTATAAAGATTATTCATTTAAAAAAGTACAAAACAATTCCATAACAATATAAAAAAGATACAAGAGATTTAAAATGAAAGGCAGCAGAAAGAAGAAAAAATCTTATTATATCTGCCCCTTTTTCAAACAATTATTTCAATCATAATAATCTTCAAGTAACAGAACAAAATGAACAACTCTTTCTAATTTTTCTAATTCTAATACAAAAACACACTAAGCTACTTTTTTTTTTAACAATTCAGCTTTGATCTTTTTCTTAAATGTACACATTGACTTGACATTTTTCACATCACTCTCTAGAACATTCCACAATCCAACTCCTTGGATTGAGGTAGACCTTCCCTTCAGACTAGTTCTGAATTTTGGTTTGACAAATATCTCTATCCCCTTAAGATTGTAACAACTTTGTTTTTAACAAAATTTCTTTGGATATTTAATGGTAATGTGTTATTTTGAGCCCTATACATAACTGATAAAATACTGTAATCTACCAAATCATGGAACTTCAATAAGTTCAGTTGATAAAATAATGTGCTTGATGGGTGACTGTAATGCTTTCTGGTGATGATTCTTACAGCTCTTTTCTGTAAAATAAAAATAGGTTTTGTAAATGTTTTACACGCTTTCCCCCAAACATCAATGCAATAGATTAAATGTGGAACAATGATTGTGTTATACAACATGTACGGAGCTTTATCATTTAATAATTCCCTGACTTTGTATAGTACTGCAATAGATTTAGATATTTTTGTTCTTACAGAATTTATGTGATTTTTCCATGTTAGCTGTTCATCAATGATTACACCCAAAAATTTCATCTCATTAACTCTACAAATCTCAACACCCTCAATTTTAAATGGATCATCAACAGTTCTCTTTTTGTTACTAAATATCATGTATTTAGTTTTATCTAAATTTAATGATAATTTATTAAGTTTAAACCAAGTTTGTATTTTATCAAATTCTGTCTTCATCAATTCCAACATCCGTTTTACATCTTTACCCAAACAAAAAAATGTGGAGTCATCTGCAAAAAGGACACATTTGAGGAGTCCTGATACATTCACTAAGTCATTCACATATAAAATACATAACTTTGGTCCAAGTACAGAGCCTTGAGGAACTCCACACGTGATATTGCACAGGTCAGATCTTACACCATTTATTTGTACAAACTGTTTCCTATCTTTTAAATAGCTAGATACCCAGTGTAATGCTGGTCCTCTTATACCATATTTATTTAATTTTTCAAGGAGAATAGTGTGGTCAATAGTATCGAATGCTTTTTTTAAATCAACAAAAATACTAACACAATACTGTTTTTGATCGACAGCAGTACTTATTTGTTCTATTATTTCCATGAGAGCCATTGATGTAGAGTTTTTTGCTCTAAACCCATACTGACTGCTACTTAGAATGTATATAATAAACTACTACTTACTGCTTGTATTACTATTCCTACTTGGCAGATTTTCACTTATCGTGGGGCTCCAGGGTACGGATCCCCAGCAATAAACAAGGGGCTCCTGTTCCACCAGACCTCTGCCGGCTGCATCGGCTGATCGGTTTTTGTGATCGGCACTGAAAGGCATTGATCCGTATCAGCTGATCACATACTTTTCAATGGAAACTGGCCAATTATGATCAGTGGCCAATCGATCTGAACATCTCTAGTACAGACCCCATGGTGGAAGGCGATCCTGTGGCCTCCTCACTGAGAGGTGACCGGCTCCAACCACCATGCTGCCATGAAGAACACCAAACATTTTACTGTAATGGACTACTACTGCACGTCTAAAGAAATTCAAAGTAATAAAAAAAACGTTTCCATCACACCAACAAGGTTTCTGCATGAATTTAGCCTGGGAACCACAGCAGGGAAAAGAAGACGTGTTCAAGGGTCTTACCATCGATGGCGGAGCGACAGACCAGGTGAGAGTAGGAGAAGTAGAGAGGAGTGTCCAGACTGAAGTACGACTCCAACACTTTCCTCACCTTCTCACTGAGGTCTAGGAACAAGCGAGCGCTCTTCAGAGGAACCTTCCCCTCCTGCCCGAGCTGTGGAACATGGAGACGTGTTCATGGTCTGAGTCAAGACTTCGCTCAAGTATTTTAAGCTCTGGTTGATCATTGGAAGAGCACATGATGCTATTATGTTCTGTGTCTCTTCTTCCACCTGAATAGTGTCACTAACATTAGAAGCCTGTGGTCCCACAAAGGTGCAGAAGAACTGCTGCACGCAGTTCTCTCTTCTAGGCTGGACTGTTGTGACTCTTTATTATCTGAGCTCCATCTTACGTCAAACACCTTACTGTTCGCTAACACAGCACTTCACTCTCAGCTGCAGGTTTACTTGTGGTTTCTAAATTGTTAGGTTAACCTTGTTTGAGGCTCGGTCTGGTCTACTCTGACTCATAACCTGGTCCAGACCAGTTCAGACCAGTCTCATCATCACCCGATAAGGAGTCGTTGTTTTTTCCAACACTTGTTGCACTTCACCCCATTATCCACCATCAGAAACAGATAAGACCGGTGAGGTCACACTGTCACCCCACGGATACATCCTGATAGGCTGTGCCCGCCGGAAGTGAAGGCGGAGCCAAGGGCCAATATAAGCTGGGGCGTTCTTTTACATGGAGCTTCCAGTTCCGGGTTGTGACGGGTCAGACAGACGCCTCAGTGCTGAGCTCGTAACTTTTCCTGCCATATCGACATAAAATGGTCAAAACAATTTACCCCTCTTGATTATACTGAGTTCGTGTGAGTTTCCTCTCCACCTGGGAACAAAAGAACCAGAAGGGCGCCGTGGTCGGACGGCTGACAAGTTTCTAAAGCCGAATATGAGGCAGAGCCTCTGGAGCCTTAGAACTGCAAGTTGTCAGATGACCAGCCGGTTCAGGACGTTAAACTGTGTGCAAAGTATAAAACTTGTGCAAGTTCAGAGTTTGACGCAAAAGTTTTGAAACGTTTTCACAAGTGGAACATTTGCTGGTACAATTTCCAGTTATTACAAAACAGTAGTTTTTTTTTGTAAAAACTGTTGAAGATATCAAAATATCAGTTCGGTCACTTAAAGTGCGACTTGTGTGAACAAACTTGATCTTTTGACTGCGAGCTCTAAAACTCCAGACAGCTGCTCATGTTTCTGCTTTTCCAGTGGACTGGTACCATCGAAGCAGTGGGAACAGCCAAACAGTAGATTCTGTTCTTTTCTTACTCTTATTTAACAAGCTATTAACATTTATATGCATCAGATAACTTTTGACTTTTCAGAAACATCTTTTTGGACAGGTCTCCTCTGTCCAGTGACCTGAGGAGAAGCTGCAGAAACAGTTCGGTGCGGAGATAAATCACATGCTCCACGAACATTTGATGCGTTACATGAGGATGAAAACCGGTCCGAGCCATCAAAGAGCTGTTCCTGCTTCAGCTCATCGGGTTTCCAATCGTTCACACACAGATTTGGGTTTAGATCATTTCTGTTAGTTTCAAATGATTTTGTCTTCACTGCAGCCCAGAGGAGGATCCAAACTACAAACCTTGACAGCCTTCAGGACACTGACCCCCTGAAACATCTCACTGGGGGTGTGAGGAGACGGCTGTCCACTGTAGCCGTCACCTTTCAGAGCAGCCACCTGGGAACACACAGTGACGTGATGAGACACAACACGCACAGACGACACGACGGCTTCATTCCAGACTCACGTTGGAGAGGCGCTGCAGCTCCCTGCACTCGTCGCTGCTGATCACTTGGTCCAGCAGCACTCGCTGAGAGCCGTTCAGCTGCTGGGACGTCATGGTCACCTTGATGTCGTCGTACAGCACAGCACCAGCTGCAAGACGCACGTCAAAATTAAACTCAAAAGGTTTTGGTTTCCATTTATTGTGTTTTATTTAGCTTCTCCAATAAAACCTCTTCTGGCCACTTGAAGTTATTTTAGCCGTTCATGAGTTTGTTCAGCTCGTGCAGAAGACGAGTGATCCAACTTTTCCTTTTTTTCTCTTTTTGAAATCAAACAAGCAGCACACCGATGTCCCCGTCACTGAGGGACGGGACTGTTTAGTCTTCCACATGAATGTTTCTGGACAAACTGAACAGAATGAACCTTAATGTTTCCAGTGCAAGGTATTCAGGGGTGGAGCCAGGGGGTGGCCAGTGGTGGCCTTGGCCACCATAGATTAATCTACAGCCACTCAAGTGATTTGAGGAAACTTTACTTTGAAGCAATATAAAAACTACAAAGAATAGTTTCCTCAAATGATCGGGGTAGATGGTGGCAGCGGCCATCTTGGATTTTGACTTGCAACCCAATTTCCAATAGTGATCTTTCTTACTTCTAGATGCAGAAAAACTCCAAAACGGAAGTTGGTACCTCACTTATTTTTCAAGCTATCATGCTCACAACATGCAAGGACGACAGAGATTTCCAATTCCCTATTTGCGCCACGTCGGGACAAACGAGGTAAAACGTTGTGAAAAATGTAAAGAAATGCGATCGTTTGCAGATCTTGTTAACCCAGGATTTATTCAACGTTATAAAATGGTTAAACAAAGAACCTAGTGTCACGCTGCAGCTGCAGGAGGGGACGAAGTGATGGGTCAGGGTTAGTGTTTCTAATCGTGCCGCTGTGCTGAGACTCTGGGAGGAAAGAGGCTGCTGAAAGCACCGTGTGCATCCTGGGAGACTAAATCAAAATAACATTTACCTCAAACTGCTTGTGGTTGAATGTGTGAAAATAAACTTGTAACAACACAAGTTCAGTTTTACTACTTTTAGCTTGCTATTTGCTTCTTTATCATTTGGCTGGAGTTTTAATATTTTAAGTTTGAAATTAATGTTTTTCCCCTTTTAGTCTAACCACGTCAGGTCGAGCTTTTCAGACCCTGAGCCTGAACATGCTTCATGTCCCGTCATGGTGCATTTGGGTTCTCGTGATTATACAGTTTTTCCCCATCTAGTTTCAATAGTAGTGCCTGTTTCATTAAAAGGAAGTTCTAGATTATACAGTTTACAGTTCTTTATCAATCCATCCATCCATTCATCATCTTCCTCTTGTCCTGAGGTCAGGTCTTGAGAGCAGCATCTTGAGCAGGGAGGTCCAGACTTCTCTCTCCACAGCCTCTTCCAGCTCTTCTGGGAGACTTCAAGGCGTTCCCAGACCAACTGAGAGACGTAGTCTCTCCAGTGTCCTGGGTCTTCCCCGGGGTCTCCTCCCAGTCTGACATGCCTGAAGCACCTCTCTAGGGAGGTGCCCAGGGAGCATCCTCACCAGATGTTGAACCACCTCAACTGGCTCCTCTCGAAGTGGAGGAGCAGCGGTTCTACGCTGAGTCTCTCCTGATAACTGAACTTCTCATCATATCTTTAAGGTCCAGTCCAGCTACCCTGCAGAGGAAACTCAATTCAACCTCCTGTATCCACGATCTCATTCTTTCAGTCTCTACCCAGAGTTCATGACCTCAGGTGAGGGGAGGAACGTAGACCGACCAGTAAACAGAGAGCTTCGCCTTACAGCTCAGCTCCCTCTTCACCACAACGGACCGGCACAGAGTCCGCAATACTGCAGACGCTGCATCAATCCGTCTGTCAATCTCACGCTCCATTCTTCCCTCACTCGTGAACAAAACCCTGAGCTACTCGAACTCCTCCACTTGAGGCAGAACCTGACTCTCAGTTATTTATTCATTATTTAATTCAGTAACAATTAATATGAGTAGTTGATAAAGAACATGTCATTTCCTACTTCTGAAAAGGCCAGACAGTTATCTCCAGAAAACAGGAAGTTAGGTTTATTTGTTTTTTGTTCCATGTCGATGGTAGTCTCCAGTTACAAATACTTGGATGTACAGTAGAAATACTTGGATGTACAGTAGAAATACTTGGATGTACAGTAGAAATACTTGGATGTACAGTAGAAATACTTGGATGTACAGTAACATAGTTGTGTGTAACTGGGACCTTGAGTACAGTTTTGTTGCAGCTCGTAGCACATGTGATGTGAATGACAATAAAGAACCTTGAACTTGAACAGGGCTCTTTCATTTGGTTTTCAAGGTTGAACCAAAGGCAAGAATGAGAAATTTTTAGACTAGAATTGCCACAAGATCTTCACTAATCCAGACAATCTTGGCGTCAACCTCTTTGTTTCTCAAGCTCGATCCATTGCTCTTAATCAACATGTTCAGTAACTGAGTGAAGAAAAAGTCTGAAGGTTTTCCGTTTTGATCGATTCGAGCAGAAACATCACCTGATGAGACATTTTGTTAACCAAGATTGAGACATTTACCTTCTTGTGGTGCAAGTATCTTGGTCAAGTCTGAAGAATCCTTCTTTTTCTCCTCAACCAGAGTCTCAATCTCTTTCATCAGGTTTCCTATTTCCTCAGTGATCCTCGCTGCGGTCTCTCTGTCAGCCCTGTGGCGTAACACAACAACACAAGACACTTAAAGGCTCAGAAAAACCAGCATGTATCGGTGGAGGTCTCTTCAGTCTTACTTCTGTTTGTCTCTCAGTTTCTTTGGCATCACACCTTCAGGGGTCCATGTGTCCTTACAGTTAAAAAATAAGAAATTTGACCTCATTTTGTCAACTGACAGAAAATATGATAGAATAAGAAATGATTTCTTTACTCACCGGATCAACAAATGTGAGTCCAAAGGCTTCATATCCAAAGTAGAGCAGTTCCTTCTCCAGTATGGACTGCTGGATGTACTCTTTCACCGTCTGCAGGTTGCACGTTAAACCACACCTTGTACTTTAGCTATTATCTTATTTAATCAATATTTAACAATAAAAGTAACAAGTTCAAATTCAAAAGCATGATAATACATTTTACAGCCTTCTCAGTAAGTGCTGGAATCATTTCCAACACAGACACAGAGAGGTTCTGTTCAGTGGAAATGTTGGTGAACTCTGACCTCCGATGAAAACGTCTCACCAGCATCACAGGCATGAACAGAGTTATGAAGTCATAATCATCAGCAGCTGTCAATCAGTTTTGTACAGATAACATACATTTTCAAGAATCTAACAAAGAATTATTTCACAGTGAACTGATCTTTATTCTGTACGTTGCAGCAGACCCAGCTGAATGAACGCAGCTCAAAACTTCCCTTTCTTTTCTGTAACTACAGCCAAGATCATGAAATGGATCCACATCAAAGCGTCATGTTGTGAACACTTGAAAGATGGATTTAGCTCTTTAACTTTATGACTATTCATGTTCCTCAGGGGGGAATCAACCTCCTGATTTAACTGATTAAAATACTAGTTTTAAATGTTGTTTCCACATAAAACTAGTCAGTCTTTGAGAACCGTCTCTGCCTGAAATGAAAATATCTATATATTTTTGATTTTATTTTAACTATTTAAGGTTCTTTTGGGGTTTCAAAACTCTACACTAGTTTTTTTTTATGACAAAATATTTATTTTACAGTAATTTAAATCAAAAAGTGTCTTTTCCTCATTAGTCAGCGCTCTGGGTCAACATCCAAGTCCTCCTCTGTTCTCCAAAGCTCAGAACTGATGCTTGTTTCTGTTGGTCCAGTCAGAGGTTCTGGATCCCCTCCTCTGCAGAATCAGACCTCCTAGTGGGGCTCGGTCCGCTCTTCCTCTTCTAAAACAAATCATGATCACCCTCTTCATCATCAAAGTCCTCTCTGTCTGACTCAGACGGTTTTTCTCCTTCATGATCCTCTCCTCTGTCTGAGATGTTCGGACTCGACGGTTCCGTCCTCCTCTGGGTCTGCAGCTCCTCCTCGCATTCAAAAATCATCTCAAACACACTAAAACTGGCTCAACACATTGAACTACACCCTCACTGTAAACCCAAACATGCTAAATATCAAATCTCTCAACCCTCATGACTCACTCCCGCCCTCGCTGTGACTTTATCGAGCTGAACTCCGTTCAACTTCAGCGTCTTCTTCTTCTTCTTCCTGTTGATCGTTGGGTGGTTGATAACCAGCTTGGAGCCTCCGTCAGAAAGGAGGGGAGGTTGTTTATGTGTTTGGTGGGGGTGGGAGGTGAAAGTGGAGGGTGATGGGGGTGTTTTGTCCGTCTTTGCGGCAGCCTCTCGCTCTAACGTGCTTCAGATATAATTTCAGAAAAAGATGTGGCGTGGATCATAACTCTGGTTTTACTGGGCCTATCAACACTTTTTAAAACTAGTGTGTAAATTAAAGTTTGTACTTTTGACAAATTAAAATGGAGTTTTTCTGAGAGGCTGCTTCTTCCTGCTAAAGTGACTGAAATCAGTCATATGACTGACGTGCTGGCGTGCTGATCGACTCCAGTGTGACTGAGAAGGCAGCGTTTATGCAGTTACGCTCTTATCTACAGCGTTGCTTATTTTAGCTCAGACCAGTTTTTACTTTTTGCAACAGTTTTGCTAATTATATCTTTTAGCTGCAGTTTAGCTGAATTTAGCTTTTAGCTATATTATTGCTAAATTTAGCTTTGATTTTGTTTTCCTTTTTTAACTTTTAGCTACTGTTTAACTGATTTTTGCATTTGTTTTTTGTTTTAATTTTAATTAAGGTAGGGTTTCAGCGTCTTCAACAAATTTTGTCAAACACATTAAGAACTCAGTATTCACGTTGCATTTCTGCAGAAAGTGCTACTTCTCTAGTTTTAATTCTGTGTTGCCGCCTGCCAGGACAGAAAATGTGTCCAGGAAGACATTGTGTAAAAAAGCACTCCACACCAAAACAAAGCAAGAGTGGTACCTGTCTGGCGGATATGGTTCTGGCCTTGTCCTCACCCAGCACAGCTGAATAATAGTTCAGGTTCTGGTTCATCACCTGGTCATCAGGGTGGAACAACAGGAAGGTCCTGGCACACTCTATAGCCTGCTCATACTTCTCACCTGGTGGAAGAGGACAGAAGCAGCATCTTTATACTGGAGCAGCACGTCCACTGGTTGTCGACAAGAACGTTTTGTCATCAAGTTTTAGGTTCGAGTCTTTTTTTCATCCTTTGGAACACAGAAGATAACATGAGATTTATGGATTTCTCTTTTTCTTGAAGTCCACTTTTATAGACTAACCAGGCTGCTGTTAAATTTTATAACTGTTTCCAAAGCTGTTTTTATTGAACTACAATATTTTAAATAATTATGGTGTTTGTGAAAAGTTCCCGTCTGGTTTTAAACACCATAATTTAACTGAGTCAGACTTTTTTTCAACTCAGTTTTTATTGTTTAACATTTTGTCACACACAACAGAACCAGCAGATATCAGCAACAGATGAAAGTCACAATCTTATAGGAATGTGCCCTCCCACTGTCCCGCGGCGCGTCGTGTCCCGCGGCGCGTCGTGTCCCGCTGCGTCGTGTCCCGCTGCGTCGTGTCCCGCTGCGTCGTGTCCCGCGGCGCGTCGTGTCCCGCTGCGCGTCGTGTCCCGCGGCGCGTAGTGTCCCGCGGCGCGTCGTGTCCCGCTGCGCGTCGTGTCCCGCTGCGCGTCGTGTCCCGCTGCGCGTCGTGTCCCGCGGCGCGTAGTGTCCCGCTGCGCGTCGTGTCCCGCTGCGCGTCGTGTCCCGCGGCGCGTCGTGTCCCGCGGCGCGTCGTGTCCCGCTGCGCGTCGTGTCCCGCTGCGCGTCGTGTCCCGCGGCGCGTCGTGTCCCGCGGCGCGTCGTGTCCCGCGGCACGTCGTGTCCCGCGGCACGTCGTGTGGTGCACTCCCTCCCAGCCTCGGAGCCACCCATGTCTCCAAGCAGTCTTCTCTGTGCATAAAACCTGTCCAGTGTCCTAGCACAAGTTCTTGGACTAAACGTTTATTTGACCATCTTTGTCAGTTTTGCTGTGGCTGAGTGGTTAGAGCAGTCGTCCTCCAATGCAAGAGTTGGGGGTTCCAATCCACCAGCAGTCACATGCTGAAGTGTCCCTGGGCAAGACACTGAACCCCTCATAGCCTCTGATGTGTGTCCCATCAGTGCATGAATGTGATCTAAAGCACTGATTAGTCTCTTTAGAATGATTTGTTCAATTATCTTTGTAGAGATCTAGTATAGAGCTGTATGAATGGGTAAATGAGGCACAGATTGTTGTAAAGTGCTTTGAGTATTGTCTACTTTTGGTATTTTAGCTGCAAGGCTTGATCCAACGTTCACAAAATGATGATTAAATCCATTTACAATTTCATTTTCATCATGGATTTCATTGTCATCCTTTAAAAAATATTGTGAAATACCTGTTTTTGCTTTATGACTTTTCAGAACACTATTTATTACTTGCCATGTTGCTTTCATGTCACCATTACTTTTATTTAATAAATCACTATAATATTCCTTCTTGTGTTTCCTTATAATCGCTACTAATTTATTTTTATACTTCTTATATTTCTCTTCAGCCTCTTGTGTTCTCAGTTTCAAAAAACATGTATACAAGTAATTCTTTTTTTACAAACATTTCTCAACTCTTTCATCATCCATGGTTGGTCAACAACATTTCTCTTTGTATAATTATTTTGCACACAATTCTTTTCATACAGAGCTCCTAAAATATTCATAAACTCATCATATGATCTGTTCACATCATCAACATACACGTATTTCCAGCTTTGTTTATGTAAATCATCTTTTAATTTGTCCATTGCTTTTTTTGATGTGTTTATTGTTTTTTTCTTAATTGTAATTTCTTTTGTAATGCTTTGATCATTTTTATAAATCATGAAAACTGGTAAATGATCACTCACATCACTCGTTAAAATACCTCCCATCACATCCCCATTTGTTACATTTGTGAAAATATTATCGATTATTGTAGCACTATGAGTTGTAATTCTTGTTGGTTTTGATATTAACGGATAAAGATTTAAACTATACAATGAATTTGTAAACGTACTGATGTTATTTGAATCTGTTTTATTTCCCAGGTCAATATTAAAGTCTCCACACAAAAAAATGCTTTTATTAAAACTCTTGTCCAATAATTGTACGATTTTATCAGTGAATATTTCTAAATTTGATCCTGGAGATCGATATACACAACTTATCAATATGTTTTTATAATTCTTGTTTATTATTTCTATTGTTATTAGTTCCATGATATTATCAACAATTATTGACATTTCATTAATTAATTTACATTTTATTTCATTTTTAACAAATAGAGCCACTCCACCACCTCTTTTGTTGCTTCTGTTCACATGATATAATTCATACCCTTCCATGTGAACATTAGTTGTGTTTTCATCGTTGAGCCACGTCTCCGACAGTGCTATTATTGTAAAGGTTCTGTTTAGCTGTTTTAAATAATCTGTTATTTTGGATATATTTGCATTTAAACTTCTACTATTAAAGTGAATAATAGAGAGACCTCCATTAGTTATATTAATGTCATTAAACTGTTCTTCATTGTAATATTCACAGTCTTTTATTTCAGGGAAAAATTTGTATCAATCGCATCTTCATCATTGTATATTTTAAACTCTAAGTCTTCGTATGTTGCCATGTTTTAATGTATTTGTTCATTTGTATATTTTGTTAATTTCGTGTTTGTGAAGTTATGTCAATGATTTATCATCTGTCCCCTCTTGAACTCATTTTAGTCTTTCCAGATCCTTCAGGTCTTTTATTATTTTAGCCTGAGATCCTTCCTGTATTTTGGTAGGGTGGGGGTATATGTGTCTTGGCCAGGACCCTATCATAAACATCTCAAGGGTTTCTTCTGGTTAAATACAAGTTTTAAAAGCAATGTTCTACTTCAGGCTGTTGTTTTATGATTGAGACTCACTGTTGTAGTAGGAAAACTGCAGGTAGTTGAAGTGTGAAGGCAGGAAGTCCTCAAAGGGTTTGTCTCTGCCAGCAGCTGAGGCCAGTTCCACGGAGCACAGCTGCTTACAGTTCAGAACCTGCAGGTAGTGGTCTGACACACACACACACACAGAGAAATCAGTACTGTGCATGTAAAATCACTGTGGGGTGTATTTATGTGAGCTAGAGAAAAAGAAACACTTGTACAACCTAGGAGCACTCAGAATACATGTTAGGAACCAGTTTCAGCTACTACCCTGTGACTTATACAATGTTGTGGCTAATTTGTGGATTTTTTTTTAATATATAATTTATTTTGGCAGGTTAACGAGCTTCCTGCCACCAAAAAACATTTTACTTTGACACACCTGGGCACTCATATAGCTGCCCAACGAAAGCATATCATATATATATATATATATATATATATATATATATACAGTGAGGAAAATAAGTATTTGAACACCCTGCAACTTTGCGAGTTCTCCCACGTAGAAATCATGGAGGGTCTGAAACTTTCATCTTAGGTGCATGTCCACTGTGGGAGACATAATCTAAAAAAAAATTATAGAAATCACAATGTATGATTTTTTAAATAATTTATTTGTGTGTTACTGCTGCAAATAAGTATTTAAACACCTGTGAAAATCAATGTTAATATTTGGTACAGTAGCCTTTGTTTGCAGTTACAGAGGTCAAATGTTTCCTGTAGTTTTTCACCAGGTTTACTGCAGCAGGATACTGGACCATTCCTCCACAGATCTTCTCTAGGATGCTTCCACCCCCATGCTTCACAGCAGGGATGGTGTTTTTGGGATGGTACTCATCATTCTTCATCCTCCAAACACGGTGAGTGGAATTAAGACCAAAAAGTTTTATTTTGGTCTCATGTGACCACAGAACTTTCTCCCATGACTCCTCTGGATCATCCAGATGGTCCTGGGCAAACTTCAGACGGGCCTGGACGTGGGTTGATTTAAGCAGGGGAACCTTCCGTGCCATGCATGATTTTAAACTATGACGTCTTAGTTTATTACCCACAGTAACCATGGAAACAGTGATGCCAGCTCTCTTCAGGTCATGGACCAGCTCCTCTGTGTAGTTCTGGGCTGATTCCTCACCTTTCTTAGGATCACTGATACTCCACGAGGTGAGATCTTGCATGGAGATTGACAGTCATGTTTAGCTTCTTCCATTTTCTAATAGTTGCTCCAACAGTTGATCTTTTTTCACCAAGCTGCTTGGCAACTGCCCTGTAGCACTTTCCAGCCTTGTGGAGGTCTAGAGTTTAGTCTCTGGTGTCTTTGGACAGTTCTTTGGTCTTAGCCATGTTAGTAGTTGGAGTCTTACTGATTGTGTGGGGTGGACAGGTGTCTTTATGCAGCTAACAACCTCAAACAGGTGCTTCTGATTTAGAATAATAAGTGGAGGTGGACTCTTTAGAGGAGGACTAACAGATCTTTGAGGACCAGAACTGTTGCTGATTGGCAGCTGTTCAAATACTTATTTGCAGCAGTAACACAAATAAATTATTTTAAAAATCTTACATTGTGATTTCCGGATTTTTTTTAACTACTACTTACTACTTGTACTACTATACCTACTTCAAGTAGGGGTGCACCGATCGCAGTTTTCTGGCCGATCACGATTTCTAAAAAAGTCTGATCTGCCGATTTTGATTTTGGTTGATACCTATTTTGTTTTATAAGCGACACCGTCAGGTGTTATAGAATCACAATGCACCTCTAATTTTCCAATATTATTTTATTAAAAAACATACTCTTGAATAATATCCAGGAAACAATACAAACTTGTTTTAACTGGCCATGAGGTCGTGCTCTGAAATATAAATGAAGTTCAGACAACTGTTGTTAAACCTTCAAGGTTTTTCATCGCAGGGCTTCAGGGTACGGATCTCCCGCGATAAACGAGGGACTACTGTACAGGATAAAACAGGTGTGTCGTGATGGACCGCCTCACCTGTCATAGACTGGAACAGGTCTGCGTTGTACTCCATGTAGGTGTAGCCATCGAAGCGGTAGGCTCCCTCACACAGTGCTCTGCACTCCTTGTCAGCGATGGAGTACTCCTCCAGGGCTGCCTCGAAATGTTCAGCTGCCAGTCCAAAAGAGTCGTCGCTGTAGTGGCGTTTCCCCAGCAGAAACTCAGCCTGAGCAACGAGGACACATCACAGCTCACGCTTTGTCATTTTTTCATACTTCACTTTTCAGATGGGTCATGGAGGTGTTGCAGAAAGATAAGATTGACTGATAAGATACTGATCGGCTCATTAGGTGTAACAGAACAGTCCAGAGCAGAGCAGTTCTGTTCACGGCACTGATCCAGTTGTTCAGTTATACTGAGACCAACGGCACGTTACGTCTTACTGGTGAGCTTTGTTCAGTCGAGCACTCCCCAACAGTCTGAAGTCCAACAGGCTGCTTGTACCAGGTCAAGGTCAAGGTCAAAGTGTCTTTATTGTCATTCCACCACATGTGGTACATGAGGTGGAACAAAACTATGTACACAGGGTCCCAGTTACATCCAACAAAATACAAATTGTAAAGAAAAATACTAGTTATATCTGATATGAACCAAGAATACACTAAGCACTACTAGTACAAAACACTGCGCCAAACAACAGCAGCACGAACACGAGTCTGTGTGAGCAGATGAGGACGAATGAGCACAGCGATATGAAATAAATCAGCAGCATGAAATGAATCAGCAGCATAAGATCAGCATCATGGATAGTCAGCAGCACATACACGTATCACTTTAAATATATATATTTTCAGGGTAGAAGCTGTTCCTCAGTCTAGTGGTTCTACACTTAATGCTCCTCAACCTCCTTCCTGAGGGGAGTGGGGCACAAAGTGTGTGTGCAGGGTGAGTGGGGTCTTTCATGATGCAGGTGGCCCTCTTCCTGCATCTGGAGGTGTAGATGTCTGTGATGGTGGGGAGGCTGACTCCAACATCTTCTGTGCAGCCTTCACCACTCTCTGCAAAGCTTTTCTTTCTGCAGCTGTGCAGCCTCCATGCCACACGTTGATGCTGGAGCACAGGATGCTCTCCACTGCACACCTGTAGAAGGAGGTGAGGACTGAGCTTCCAGACCAGCTCGTCTCAGCCGCCTGAGGAAGTAGAGTCTCTGATGAGCTTTCTTGGTCAGGCTGGTGGTGTTGTTGCTCCAGCTGAGGTTGTCATTCATGTGCACACCCAAGTTCTTGTAGCTGGAGACCACTTCCACCGCAGATCCTCCTATGTTGGGGTGGGGGGTTGTAGGTGTGTTTGTTCCTTATGAAGTCCGCAACCATCTCCTTCGTCTTCTTCACATTGATGTGAAGTTTATTCTTCCTGCACCAGCTCTCCAGGTGTTCCACCTCCTGCCTGTAGCTGGACTCATCATTGTTTGTGATGCATCCCACCACATCTGTATCATCTGCAAACTTTACAATGTGACAGCCTGATCTGTCCCATCCCTGGGATGATCTGCTCCACATGGCTTGTTGTAGTAAATTGTTAAAAATCATCAACATAAGCTGCGGGGTTACTGACAATCTATTTTTGATTTTCTTTTTTTCTTTGGGATATGTGGAAAATCTGTGCACCCGTCATCGTTCATTTCATTGTTTGGGGTGGTCCCTGTGGATACGAGAAGAACATGATCACTTTTGGCTCTGTTCGGACCACGAGACTCACAGATGGCGGCCATTTGTGTCGTATACTGAAACTGTGTCAGTGCCTGTACTATTCATGTGTGCCTGTACAGCTGATCCGGTGTGTGTGTGTGTGTGTGTGGGGGGGGGGGGGGGGGGGGGTGGGGATTTTGTTGCTTGTATGTTTCTTTTTGTTTGTACTTTTAAATTAAAACAAACAATAAAAAGACTGTTTTGCTACAACGCAGGTAAATCAATTCAAAGAGCAGAAAACCAGGCGGTAAACTTGCTCTCACCATATGTGGACTGGTCTCCAGATCTTTGAAGTCCTCCTCCTGAACTCCTGCCATCATCCTGTAATAGTCGAGATTCTGCTTCATCTCCGAGTGGTCTGGGTTGGCCTGGAAAAACGTGTTGGCAGCTGCCACCGCCTTGTCCAGTTTATTGATCTGAAAAAACACAAACATGTCCTGCTCAATGGTTCTACTGGATTATACTCCAGAAAAACCAATGTTCTGATTCTTCTACCATCTTAAGCTCCACTAAAACGTCTCCTTTCACAAGAGAATATCGATCCACCTCTCGGTTAGAGATCACTTTGAATGAGCAAGAGAAAGTAGAACGTTTCAAAGGAAAAAGCTTGTGTGCACGTTCTGCAGGCTGCGTCTGTGAGAGACGCTCAGTGGAAGAAGGCAACATGTCTTTGCTTCTGAAGAATGGTTAGTGCTACATCATCAAGCTGGAGTTGAATAATCTCTAGCCTCATCCAACCCAATCTGAGACTGTATAAAATTAAAGATTTTCAAAGTAAAGACATGTTTACAGTGCTGCTTGAAAGTTTGTGAACTCTTTATAATTTTCTATATTTCTGCATAAATACGACCGAAAGCAGCATCAGATTTTCACACAAGTCCTAAAAGTGATAAAGAGAACCCAGTTAAACAAATGAGACAAAACTATTATACTTGGTCATTTATTTATACTCCAGAAAATGACATTATAGATGCCCTAGATGGCCGAAAATATTGTGCAACTCTTTTTGTTGACCTTTCTAAAGCGTTTGACACTAGATCATGTCATCCTGATGAATCGACTCCACAAAAGTGGGTAATCTGTCCAGGCTGTTAACTGGTTCTCCAACTTTTCATCTGATAGAACTCAAGGCTGGGTCTAGTTCCTCCCTCCTTCCTATTTTAAAGGGAGTGCCTCAAGGCTCCTTACTGGGTCCTTTGTTGTTCACAATTCATGTAAACAATTTGTGCGATAACTTGCCTGATGCTAAAGTTTATCTTTATGCTGATGATACAGTTATTTATTGTTCATCATCTTCAGTTTCACAATCATTTAAACTGCTGCAATCTGCATTTGATACTGTTCAGTCCCGTCTGGCTGGGCTTAAGCTGGTTTTGGATGCAGAAAAATCAAAGGCTATGCTATTTTCAAATGGTAAGCAGCTCCCACCTATCCTCCCCAGTCTGTTAACTGTTCAAGGGGCTGAAATTGAAGTTGTCAGGTGCTATAAATATTTAGGTATTCTGATTGATGAGAATCTATCCTTTAAATCTCATTTTGATAAACTGGTTTCTAAACTAAAACTTAAATTGTTTTTTTTTTTAGAAACAAAAGATGTTTCTCACACCAAGGCAGAAGGCACCTGATTGTTTCAACCATTCTGCCCCTGGTGGATTATGGAGATCTGCTATTTATGAACTCTTCAGCCCTGGTTTTGAAAAACATGGATGCTGTTATGATATCACTGTGCCCTCTGTTTTATGATGGACTGTGTCCATCGAACACATCACTGCACTTTGTATGCTACAGCAAAATGTCTCTCTTTGACTGACCGCAGACCTTCTCACTTGTTGGTTTTTGTCTATAAATGCATCCTTGGGCATCTTCCTACATATTTATGTTCACTTTTATCTAGAACTTTAAACCATTATAGTCTGCGCTCTCAGGACATCATTTTGATGCAGGTCCCAAAGGTCAGAACTGAACTGGGTAAAAAGGCTTTTAAATATTTTGCTTCTGCCACTTGGAATATTCTGCAGAAGGATTTAAAGTTATCATCTCTTGTTACGTCGGGACAATTTAAATCAATTCTAAAGGAGCGAGAGCTCAGATCATTGGCTCCTGTAACTGCTCTAATGTGTAATTATTGTGATTTCTCCTGGATATGTATTTTGTGTATTTGGTTTAGTATTTTGGATTTGTTGTATGTTTTATGCTGCTGTCTTGGCCAGGTCACTCTTGGAAAAGAGGTTTTTAATCTCAATGAGTTATTTTCCTGGTTAAATAAAGGATACATACTTACATACATTATTTATTGAGGAACATGCTCCAATATTACACATGTGTGAGTGGTAAAAGTATGTGAACCTCTAGGATTATCAATTTGAAGATGAAATTAGAGTCATGTGTTTTCTCATTTTGAACTGAAGGAATCTGAAAAACTTAACCAGATCATCTTTTGGAGGTTTGGCATAAACTGGTGTGAAAGGATCGAAATGGCACATCAGGTAGGAGATTCAGAGGATGACATGAATGTTGAGTGGACACCAGTTAGTGGTGGGAGCAGGAAACTTAAGGAAGGTGACAGAGGCAAGATGGAGGGCAGGGCATTGCTTGAAAACCAAGGAAATAAAAGGGGATTCGAAGGAAACAGTTCAGATGATGATAAAGTGATTCGTAGGAAAATGGTGAGGGAAGAATTCAAGATAATATTAAGATTTAACAAAGAGGATGAACAGGGAAACCTTAGCCCTATTTTACCGTCAAGAGAAATAAAGAAAATTGGAGACGTAGAAATGGCAAAAATATTGAGAGATGGAAACCTAATGATGATCTGTAAAACTGAGGAGCAAAAAAATACAGCATTAAAGATTGAAAGCATTAGCAAAAAGATGATAACAGAAAGAACGGTCGTAGGAGAAAACAGAAACATTAAGGGAGTGATTACAGGGATACCAGTTGATGAGGATTTAGAAAACATAAAATGAAGCATTGCTGGAGCACAGGTACAAAATGTCTAAAGAATGTCAGAAACAGTCAAAGGAGGAAGAGTAGCAAGCATGTCAGTCCTACTAGAGTTTGCAGAAGCTGTTCTACCTGAAAAATCAAGATAGGATACACGAGTTTCCCAGTCAGGCCTTTTATTCCTCCTCCACTCCGCTGCTACGAGTGTCAGCGTCATGGACACGTGGCGGCGGTGAGTAAAGGGAAGCAGAGGTGTCCCAAGTGTGGAGAGGAGCACAGATATGAAGAATGTAGAGAAGAAGCTCAAGAAAAGAGTTGCAACTGTGGGGGACAACATGGAGTTAATTACGGAGGATGTGAGGTGAGGAAGAGGGCCGTACAAATCCAACACATCAAGATAACCAACAACATAAGCTCTGCTGAAGCAGTCAAGAGTGCAAGGACCAAAAACAAGAGAAACGGATCAAATAAAGAATCAAAGCCCTCAACAAACTACTCAAGCAGAAGAAAACATTTCAATGACAACAGAGAAACTCATTCTATTCATGGCGTACGTTATTAACTGTTCTGATCAGGCTCAGCACAAGACAGAGAAGATTAAAATAACTGAGGTGCTGAAAGATTTTTGGGATTTAAAGAGATGTCATGGGAAAATATAAATAAAAGACTGGAAACAGAAGGGAGGTCAGGAAACCTCAAAGACAAAAGCACATGATGATACTAGAATGGAATGCACGGAGCTTAACAGCAAATGGACAAGAATGTAAAGGATATATAGATGGACTTGATGGAAAACCAGAAATCATATGCATACAAGACACGTGGTTAAAATCAAATTTGGAGTTTGTTATCAAAGGATATAATTGCATAAGAAGAGATAGACAGGAAGGAAATGGAGGAGGATGTGGAACAATCGTAAAACAAGGACTTCAATATCAGATATTAAGAAAAGGAATAGAGTTAGAATATATAATAGTGGAAATATGGGGAAATGAAGGAAAGTGTAAGATAATAAATTTCTATAACCCATGCAGAGCACTGTCACTTGAGGTGATGGAGGAGGTGTTAAAATATGTGGAGGGGAAAGTGGTGTGGGGACTTTAATGCACATAGTACTTTTTTGGGGAAAAGTAATGATAGAAATGGACAAATAATGGAAGAAGTGATAGAAAATAAAAACCTTGTATGTGTTAATGATGGGAGGGGAACAAGAGTAAATGTTAGGACAGGAGCAGAGTCAGCAATCGATCTTACATTAGTATCAGATTCATTCATGGAGTTTGTATGTGGGACGTTGATAAAAGCACAGTAATGGGTAGTGATCATTACCCTATCAACGTTTCAATAGGCATAAAACCAGAGCAGAACACAGTAGAAGGAAAGAGAACGTTACTATTTAATAAAGCAGACTGGAACAAATTCAAATATATTACAGATGAAGAGCTACAGAAAACTGATCTGTCAACAGACAGTAATAATGTTAATATTTGTATATGAAAGATTATACAGGAAGCTACAGAACATTCAATAAAAAAGGTGGAAGAACGAGCGAAAAGAAGAAAGTACCTTGGTGGACAGACGAATGTAACAAAGCCTTAAAGACAAGACATAAAGCACTAAAAAGAAATCCTAGTTATCAGAACTTCATCGAATATAAAAGAAAACAAGCAATGGTAAGAAAAAACATCAAGAATGCAAAGAGGGAATATTGGAGAAACTTTTGTAATACTATTTGTACACTATACTATCACTACTATTGGAAGAGAAACAAAAATTGAAAAACTCTGGAAAATGATCAAAAGAATGGGGCAGCACGGTGGCGAGGTGGAGACATACATATGGAGCTCTACCACAGCACGGTGGTAGAGCTGCTGCCTCTCAGCGAGAAGGTCCCTGGTTCAAATCCAGGTCCAGAGGCCTTTCTGGGTGGAGTTTACATGTTCTCTCCGTGCATGCGTGGGTTTTCTCCGGGTGCTCCAGTTTCCTCCCACAGAC